AAAATTGGTGGATTATCGGTAGATCATTCCAGAAGCATTCTAGAACCGTTATCCATTTTTGGTAATATCCCTGACTGAAATATAAAGTCTAGTAAGCACGTGATTTTAAACCAATCACGGCACAGAATCAGGTGTAACGTGAAAACAAAAAAATCGTCCATGAAACCACTTTCTGCGTCTTAACAAAAAAAAAATTCCTTGCAAAATTTTGCTATATACCCTGTTCTTTCTACTATCATCCTAATGCTCACCCTTACCCTAACGTCAAAAGTCAATTTTTTGATCAAAAAACGCGTTGACGATCTGCGGTTTGCTTTGGCCAATGAAATTTTAGCGTAGGTCATCACGAGACCGCGAATTGTTATGCGGTTGCTAGTAGGTTTTTGAGATATAGCGCCCACCACTGGTTATAATAATAAAATATTGATAAGCTTTATTTTTGATAATTTTCAAATTAAAAATTTTAGGCTAATTATTAAGGTTACTAACCAATAGTTAAACTACACCAAATTTATAATTCTAAAGTACATATCTATATTTATTAAATATGCTGTGAGATAAACAAAAAAAACAAATAAGTATTATATTAAAAATTTAATAGAAAGATCGTAAAAAATTTCATGTTTAATAAGAATTGCACGGCATATAATTACTCAATCCTGGTTATTGGACTGCAAGAGATTTTTCCAAGCGTAACTATGTACTAAAATCTAAATATAAAAAATAAATTTGTATATATATATATATATATATATATTATCGAATTATAAATATATACCAAAAATATCGGTTTAACATTTATAAATGTATTTTCTTAAAAATACAAGGTTAAAATTTTCAAGTTTGAAAAAATATATAAAGATAAACCGAAATTGAAAGAAAATCATATATCGGAAATTACACAAGTGCTTTGAGTAACATGTACTAAAAATATAGCCAAGATTTTAAAATTAAATATGTAACTATGGTAACTATATATGTAGTCATTTTGTTTCTTGATAAATTTAATAGACTGATAATCAATAAAAATGTAAAATGCAAGCAGACAATTAAAGTACTGGTCAAGAAAAATTGGATAAACTATGTACATGTGTAAGTGCGTACGTACATAAGTACGTAATTAATTGAAAATTATTACTTGTAATCGAACATCCGATACTTTATGGCCCCTTGCCAAGTCAATTTTGTACGCGGATTCCAACGATTAAAAATGTAACACAAATACAAAATTTCTTAATTATATTTAAAAAAATTCTCATACAACATAATTTTTCCTAATAAATAATTTCTTGATTGATTTTGTTGATTTGATTATAAAAATACGCTACGTATCGTTATACGTAAAAAAAATAAAACATCTAAAATGAAATCAAAAAATTAAATCGAGTATGATTTATATTTTTTTTGTACCAAGTATATGCACGTGAAGCGAAAAATTGTAATTCGCATTCTTCGTCGTACGTATTTAAATAAATTTAATATTTAATATTTTTATTTTATGCATTAAATATAGCCTGCTATCGATTATTAGCATTAGCGTTAGTATATCAAGTAAGAAACATATGTTACACATAAGTGTATCCTTTCTGATATGCTGAGTAATGTATGTGTGTGCTGAATAATGTATGTGCCAAGAATCGGGCGCGAGACCACCAACCATAAAGATGGATGGACTAGTTGTAGAAAATTTTTCATGAATTTGTTATGATCTTATTAACTACGAACCTACTCTTATTACCCATTAATTATATAACATTTTAATTAACCTATTCATTTACTGCTTGCAATCTATTGAATTTATATTTAGCAATTTTAAATTAAATAATTTGTATTAGCATTGAAATAAATTATAGTTAAAAAAACATTTTCGGGAATAAAATAATTTTTTAATGTCAATTCTTATACAAAGGAATAACAACCAGTGATTATTTTCCTATAAAGAACTTTAAAAATAAATAACTTGTTTGCCCTCACACATGCAGGTTAATTTCCTGTAATGTCCATCCGTTAATAATGTATTACAATAAGAGTAATTAATTGTAACAGGTTTTATGCTATTTCCCAAGTTATGTGAAATTGGTTTAATCTATAGGTTATTTAGATATTTTAATATCCTCCATATTGTTGCTGAGGATAAGCATTATTATAACCACTTTGTGGTTGTTGGTAGCCATTAAATCCACCTTGCGGTAATGGTGGAGGAGGATAGTTGCTATTATAATTTGAGTATACCTGATCATCTTCAAGTAATTCTTTAACTTCCCACACATTTTGTTTACTTCCAACGGAAAATTCAAGATCTTCTTTGGTGATGGAATCCCAATATTTATAAACCATCATCACACCTAAAAGTGTGCAGATTGTTCCAAAGAACAGACCATCAATATAATGTTTAGCAGTATCACATATCTTAACGGAGAATAGATAGAGGATAACTTGGCCAATGACATAGAAAGAAATTCCAAACAAAATATCACCAAGTGGCCAGCGGTCATCGAGGGTATTAAGAACAAGGACTATTTGAAGAACGAAATAAATGGCAAGTGCAGCACCATTAAAAACGTATAATACAATCCATAAGGCTAGAGGACGTAATGAGTTAAAATTAGCTGCATTGGTGAATGTAGCAAAACTAAGGCCAAAAACTGCTAGAAAAACTACAGCTGAGGAAATTCGAATTGACTATAAAAAAAATAAGAAAAAATAGTTGATTATTATTATTATTATTATTTAGCGTTGGAGTAAATAAAATTATTAAATTTCATAAGCAATTTGGCCTACCCAAAGTGAAAGTGGTGTACCATCTTCAGCAAATTGAAAGCCAACGAACCCATTTAGCAGTAAACACCAGAATGTGGCTGTAATAAGACCAATGTGGCCAGCAACAAAATACTAAAGGAAAAAAAAAAAAAAAAAAAAAAAAAAAAAAAAAAAAAAAAAAAAAATTAAAAAATTAAAATTTTTTATTTTCTTTTTTTTTTTTTTTTAATTTTAAAAT